GTAAAACAGCATGTCCATGTTTTGTGCTCCGTGAAGATCTACTGAACTCAAGTCGAGATGCTCAAGTGACGAAAGGTCAGAAGTCCATGCCATGTCATCTACCATCAGCCTTCCTTCATTCGCACTGATATCAAGAACCTTTAAATTAGAAAGATTGCCAATGTGAGGAGGAATAATACCTTCAAAACCAGATAGATTGAGGTAGGTCAGCTGTTTCAAGGATCCAATGAACTTTGGGATCTGACTTCCTTGAAAAACATTCCCATTCAATTCCAAGTGTTTGAGATGCCTCAACTCTACCAAAGAAGAGTTCACTGCATTACCACTCAAGAAGCAGCCTCCGAGATGAAGGCTTTGGACGGTTTCCTCACAGTAAATTCCTTTCCACATGCAACAATCATTGCCCACCCATGATGACAACATTCCAGAAGGATCTCTGACACTATTTTTAAACTTGAGAAGAGCAAGTCGCTCTTTCTCAGAGCAAATCACACTCGTATTTTCATTACCCAAACAAGTATATGTACCTCCTGCAAACAAGAACGCACATAAAAAAATCAGAAGGTGCCCCAAACCCCTCGGATTCCCCATTATCAACCCTAACAAAGTTTAGAGACTGGGAAAAACAAACTAAAGTAGAAAGATGGGTTGTTAAGAAGAAGTGATGGTTGCTATGTTGAAGGAACTGGTTGATTTATAAAGCCATGGAAGACTTGGAAGTCCATAACAGAATTGTATTCTTTTGTGGTCCTAGGCTATTTTTCTTTTTCTCTTGATCAAAATAACAGGTTTATGCCCAAGTCAATTACAGAATTGTATTCCTTAGTATCATGTGGACACAACATTTTACAGAATGTGAATTGAATATGACAAACAAGCATTTATATTCTCGAGAAATCGAAGATAATTTATACTATTTTTGTAAATAATTAACAAACTTGATGTGTCAAGGCCCATAAGGATAATTTCTGCAACTTAATATTCAAAATTTCATCTTATCTTTTTTTTTTTAATGTAACCTGCCAAATGCACTATGGTTGTGTTAGACATGATAATTTTGACACATGTACTTGGAAATGTGTTTAGATTTTATTTTCAAAGATTCTTACTTCCATCTGATTCGGCCTTGCCACATCATAGTATTTTCAATATTTTTCTTATTAATGCAGGAAGTGTATGTGATGAGTCAGGGGAAAGTGAACAAATTCTCCCTTGCTCTTAGGGTTAAACAAAGTAAAAGAAGATAGTTAAGAGAGTATTTATGAATTATAACGAAATGCAAAGTTAGGGACGATACAGAGAATATTTCAAAAAAAGGATTGAAACTGAAATGTTTTGTAAACCACGGGGACTATTACTGTAACATACTTTCATTTTTTATGAACTTGATCTTATTTAGTGCTGCACATTTGTGTTAAATTGTTTTATCAGATACCTCTGCAAGTCCTTATGGCAGCTTGCATGTAAGAGCTCTGGGAGGAAAGTGGATCTGGCACCCAGGCATACCATAACTGCATCATATTCCCCTAGAAAAGTGGAACATGTAAGGAATCTTATTTAGTGCTGCACATTTGTGCTAAATTGTTAATGCATGAGACGTTTTTGTGCCCTCACAGTTTAGTTCTTCATTCAGTTTTAACTCGTTAATTTTAAGCTCTGCATCAGTTAAGAAGATGTTAGGTTGTGGTTTAATAAGAAATCTCTGAGACACTCCACATCAGCTATAAATATTGTTCCTGATCAGTTTGGTGAATTCATCCTTTCATGAAATAAAAAACAAAGTTCCCCTCTCTGTTTTTACCCTTAGAATATATCATATCTAACAGATGAACAAACAAAAAGAAACACGATTCTAACAAACCCTACTTTAATCACAACATTAAACCAAAATCGACCAAAAACTCACATAAACAATCAAATCAAATACAAACACAGGCCTGATTTCGTATTCAAACAGATTAAGAAAGGCAGCAAACACTGTTTGTGATTTAGAAACTAAAAGCTTAATCCTCAATTCATATTAGCATAGTAACAAATGTGCAATTATATCGTTTACTCCTTTTGAACATTCACTTTCCAACAGATGCTAAAAAAGCTGATACATTCTTAGTGGGTGCAACCTAAACAAAACTGTCACCATACACAACAGATGCTGAAAAAGTTGAATAATTTAACTTTTGCTGCAACTGGATCATACAAAGCTAGACAGACTTTTATATGTTTCAAACATAAACTTATTTCACCATTCTCCTTTGTCCGCTCTCGCCTCTATAATTTATTTCACCATTCAAGAGAAGGGTATAAGGGGTTTCATAGACATTATGCATTAATTTATCCTTTATTCTACTTCCCTTATTTGAAACAAGCTCGTCATAAAACATTCAACATTTCAACATATTATACGACCTAATGCATTAAAATCTCGAAATATCGAATCTACAGATCCACCCACTGTTTTTCTTGTAACCATAGCTTACAACCAGATTTCTCAGGCAACCAGCCCAAGATATAGTTGGATTAACCATCACATCAAACCATAAAACCCACAAAACACTTCCAGTCATAAGATAGAAAAAACAAAAATTATATTTGAAAATTACTGGTTTTGACCAACTACCAAGTTAAGGGAAAATGTATTGGTGGAAAACCAAAGATGTATGGAAATGTATGGAACCAAAGATGACAATCCAGTAGGAGTGTCTTAGAGTACTTGCCAAGTCGGGAAAACCATTTCCATAAACTTTTCAAGGCAGGTTTCACCCGTCACCAACACAGCAATGCAGACTAGTTACTAATAACAATA